ATATAAAATTGGCCATTTAAACCATTTATATATACAATTCAGTGGTATTAATTACATTCACAATATTGTGCAACCATCACCGCTATATATTTCCAAAACTTTGTCCTGACCCCAAACAGAAACTCTGTACCCATTAAGCAGTAATTCCCCACCTCCACCCCCCTTTTTACTTCCTGGTAACTGCTAATCTATTTTCTGTCTCTATGTATTTGTCTATTCTAGATATTTTATATAATGGAATCATGATATTTGCCTTTTGTGTCTGGCTTATTTTACTTAGTACGTTTTCAAGGTACATCCATGTTGTAGCATGTATCAAAAAGTCAGTTTTTTATGGCTGATAATATTCCACTACATGTATATTCCATATATTGTATATTCATTTATCTGTTGATGGACACTGGGTTGTTTACAACTTTTGGCTATTGTGATTAGTGCCGCAGTGAACATTGTACATTGGTGCACAAGTATCTGTTTCAGTCCCTGTTTTCAGTACTTTGGAATCTATATCTTGGAGTGAAATAGCTGGGTCATGTGGCAGTTCTACATTTAAGTTTCTGGGGAACTGCCAAACTGGTTTACATAGCAGCTGTACCATTTAAAATTCCCACCTGAAAGCATTAGGCTTCCAATTTCTCCACATCCTCACCAATACTTGTTATTTTCCATGTTTTTTTGTGTTTTTTTTATTATAGCCATCCTAGTGCATGTGAAATGATATCTCATTATGGTTTGAATTTGCATTTCCCTGATGACAAATGATTGCGAGCATCTTTTCATGGGCTTATGGACTATTTGTATATCTTTTTTATAGAAATGTCTATTCAAGTTCTTTGGCTTCTTTTAAACTGGGTTGTCTTTTTGCTTAGTCCTCTGTATATTCTGCCTGTTAAACCCTTATCAGATAAACAATTTACAAATATTTTCTTCCATTCTCTAGGTTTTCTTTTCACTTTCATGATAATGTCCTATAATGCGCAAAAGTCTTCAATTTTTTTTTTTTTTTTTTGGCGGTACATGGGCCTCTCACTGTTGTGGCCTCTCCCGTTGCGGAGCACAGGCTCCGGACGTGCAGGCTCAGGGGCCATGGCTCACGGGCCCAGCCGCTCCGCGGCATGTGGGATCTTCCCGGACCGGGGCACGAACCCGTGTCCCCTGCATCGGCAGGAGGACTGTCGACCACTGCGCCACCAGGGAAGCCCCAAGTCTTCAATTTTGAAGTTCAATTTATCTAATTTTTCTTTTATTGCTTGCGCCTTTAGTGTCATATTTAAGAATGTTGCCAAATTGAAGGTCATAAAGATTTTCCTTTATGTTTTTTTCTGACAGTTTTATAATTTTAGCTCTTTATTTAGGTTGTTGATCCATTTTGAGTTCATTCTTGCATGTGGTTGTGATAAAAGGGCCCAACTTCATTTTTTGCATGTTGAAATACAGTTGTTGCAGAACCATTTGTTGAAGACACTGTTCTTTCGCCATTGAACAGACTTGGCACCCTTGTTGAAAATCAGCTGGCCAGAGATGTATGGGTTGATTTCTGGACTCTCAATTCTATTCCATTGGTCCACATGTCTATCCTCAAGCAAGTACCTCACTCTTTTGATTTCTATAGCTTTGCTGTAGGTTTTAAAACCAGGAAGTGTGAGTCTTCCAACTTTGTTCTCTTTTTCAAGACTGTTTTGACTATTTGGGGCTCCTTGACACTCCATGTGAATTTCAGGATTGGCTTTTCCATTTCTCCACGAGAGGCTGTAAGAATTTTTATAGGGATTGACTTGAATCTGTAGATCACTTTGGGTGTATAATCATTTTAATATGCCTTTGGATTTGGTTTGCTAGTATTTTGTTGAGGATTGGTTATGTGAATTTTATTGATTGTCAGAATGGATTTTCTTGGATGCCTTCTTTGACAAGGCATTTCTGTCAGAGAATTGGCAGAACTTCTGAGTCTTACTTATCTGAGTGAATCAAAACAATTTTTTACTTAAATTTTTATAAAGGGCCTTTACATTTAAGGAGTACAAAAACAATTTCATCTATAATGTTGGAAATAATTAGGAAGTATCTATTATGTGTCAGGTGATGGGTTACATGTTTTATATGTTATTTCATTAAAAAGTAACAGCTATTAGTAACCTCACTTTGCAGTGAGGACACAGACGCTTAGAGCTAGTAAATGGTAAAGCAAGGGTTTTAGCTCTTGTTTTTAGTCCTTGATTCCTGACTCCTAACTTTACATTATAATGTCTGATCTGAGACATGAATCTATTTAAACACTGCAAAGAAAGAACAGTAGTGCCTCTAACCAAAGAATACCATATGATGGGTCTATTTTCACGTCTTCATTTTTCCTAGTTCAGAACTCTTCAAACATAAGAATAACACCATACAACAGAAATTCACAGGACTAGAGTAATTATCGTGCTGTATTCAAGCGCTGTAGATGAGTGGATGAATTGATGGCAAAAATATTACAGGAAATCCAAGAATGGCACGAATAAAATCTTTATAAATCTAAATGCACGAGTCAGTCTTTATCATTTCTAAACATCTTAGGCGTTTTAGAGGACAGCAAGATTTCTCAGTAGAACAGTGTGATTTTTCTATGTAAATGTTGTGGCCTAACAGGTGTGTTGGCTAGTGATAAGATACTCTGCCAAGCAACAAATAAATAATTGCACACGAATCCCAGGAGGATGTTAGCTCGGGGGTATATATGAATGTGATTTTTAAAATGGCATTCTGTTTTTTTCTCAGCGTCAGAAATAGCGGCATACCCCTACCTTGAATGGTGAGGTTGACACTATTTTTCACTGAATATTTTTTAGTTTTTAATGTTTTAAAATATTATTATGAAATATATCATGAATTCACCTCCACCACCACCACCCCAGCCCCTTTACCTGGATAATGCATTTAAAATTTTTTTGATCATGTCTCCGTTAAGAAGTTGTCCTAGGTTTTCTAAACTTCTGTTAGCCACTCACTCCTAAGTCCTTCCATAGCACCCTATTCTTACCTGTTTGTGGCACTCTCACCCTGATTTGCAATTTTCTGTTTACTAGCCATCCCTTTAAGACCGTAAGTTCCTTGAGGGCAGAGAATGAATTTTGTTTAACAGTGTAACCTGTGCACCTTCTGGAATGGCTGGCGCTTAGGAAATGCTCAGTACTGAAAAGAGGTGATAAGTGAATAAATGTTCTGTGTTACTTGCACATGGTTCAAGAAACTGTTTCAGTACAGTCCAAGGCAACTCTAACAGTTGCTGTTCTTAGCTGTCAGGAAAGTTCCTGTTCTATAAGAGACTTTGTTACCCTTTCCAATTGGTAAATCTTAGGAGAGTAGTAAAGGTGCTTCATCTATATACCTGAATACGTTACGTTGTCCGTGAAAAATCATACATACTTTAGTGTTTCCGTGTCACTGACCAGTTATTCAAGAGTAGGGTATGGGGGTTGTTGGACTGTGACGTCTGTCACATCACTGATCATCAGGCTCTATTGCACTGCCATGACTAGTTGAGCTTCTCCCTCACTGATCCTGAAATAACACTGCTGGGTGCAGAGCAGGCCCTTCCCAGATGGGAAGATACCTGTCTCTCAGGCAGAGATATTTACAACTTTAAGAATTGGGCATTGGATATGCTTCCTTTTTTACTATAATAGTCAAATTATGATTACTAAAACTTGGCAAAGTTGATCAACCTGGAGAAGCATTTTCTTATTGCACCATTCTCGTGAAGGCACCCCACTGCGCTAGGCCCTGGCAGCTTGGAAGCGCTGAGTTTTCTGTGTGCTGAGGCTTTATGTGTGTGTCTTTATGTGTGATACAGGGTCAAGTGTCTAAAAGATATGGAGCAAACTGATTTTCATTTTAAAATAAGTTGGTGTCTAAGGTAAAAGACTTGTGTCAAACCCTATACTTTTTTCCTTCTCTTTACCCATATCACTTCTACACTGATCTTATGCAGGATTTGGATGACATTTTTGTTCCTAAAAGGAAACAAAGTAGGCAAGTGTGTAATCAAAATATCGAGTAATAAATATGTAGAGTCAAATTTGAGCTTTAAAAGGGTGTGTTAGTGGGACCAGTTGGGGACTGAATTTGTGTTGGTGGAAAACAGTTTAAGTTAATCAAGGAAACTTCCTAGAAAGACTGTACTTTACAGAGGCAACGTCAAAGTAATAAGACATACTGGGAAGAAAATAGATGAGATGTAGGAGGTGAAAAAATAGGCAGGAATTTCAAAAATTTATTGTTTTCTAATTGCAAAATGGATTATTTCCATCCAGGAGTGATATTCAAAAGGTTTAACAACAGATTGTCCAGGACACTGGACTCATCAGAACGTAGGCCACCAGAGCAGTGTCCTAGGGCCTTTTAAGTTGTTGCACTAGGTGGGGACAGGGATGAGATTAGTTAAAAACTGGTATGGAAGTATAGCAACACTTTAATAAATCGATGGGTCTATACCAGAGCTTCCTGCTCTCCTTCCACATTCTCCAGTAATGATGGCGCTGTCTGACTAGTAGTGACATCTCTGGAAAGGAGATGAAGACTTCTTTGAAATTCATTCTGTGTAGTTGGGAGACATGAGGGTATTTGTCTTCAATAAATTAAGCATTTCAATAAATAAATTTCTTTTGTACATTTATGAAATTTAGCTGTATTAGAAACTATGTGCACAAAGCCTCCATTTTCCCAATGCACAGTAACTCTTAGCTTTTATAGTAGTGGAATTGCGGCTCTGCAGGAGACACTGACACTGCAGCTCTCGTATAGCCACTTTCAGTCTGAGCCCTTGGGTTTACATCCTGGTCTCCAGAACCTGCCGGATTTGGTTTGTGGCCAGCTGCTGATAACCTAGAATAAATCACCATGAATCACTCAGAGGGAACTAGAGAAAAAGGAGAAAAAAGCAGTAAGATGCTAAGGGGACACTTTGAGGATTAAGGAAGGGCCAATGTTTAATATTGTTCCAGATGTCAGAAAAGAGCGAGATGAGTGTCAACTCCACAGGAAGGTGAGTGCCTGAAGCAAAGACATGGACAGTAGTTTCCACAGTGATGCCCCACCGCACAGTGCAGTGTGGCACACGGTGCTTCTGACAAAGGTGGGGAGAGAGAAAGAGAAAAATTGGTAAAATGTATGTTTTCTTATATTTGATTCCATGTCATTTCCTGGTTACCTAAACAGTCAACCTTAAGTATGCAAAAATACTGGAAGGCAGATTAAAATAAAGGAAAAAAAAGTAATAGAGAAGAGAAGAAAGTGGCTAAGTATTTGATGGAAATTTATGGCTGGAATGAAGAGGGTAGCTAAAAGAAAAATCAAAGCAGGGATTTTGAGAAATGGTCATAGAAATTAAAACACATAAGTAGAACAGAGGCCATCTGGTGAATCTGATATTTGTTAAGAACATTTTCTAATATAAGATTGGAGTGATTAGGGTAAGAGAAAATTCTTGATGGTTTTGGTGTCTTAAAAAATCTTATGAGGGGCTTCCCTGGTGGCGCAGTGGTTGAGAGTCGCCTGCCGATGTAGGGGACACGGGTTCGGGCCCCGGTCTGGGAAGATCTAACGTGCCGCGGAGTGGCTGGGCCTGTGAGCCATGGCCGCTGAGTCTGCGCGTCCGGAGCCTGTGCTCCGCAATGGGAGAGGCCACAACAGTGAGAGGCCCGCGTACCGCAAAAAAAAAAAAAAAAAATTGAAGACTTTTACGCATTATAGGGCATTATCATGAAAGTAAAAAGAAAACCTAGAGAATGGAAGAAAATATTTGTAAATTGTTTATCTGATAAGGGTTTAACAGGCAGAATATACAAAGGACTAAGCAAAAAGACAACCCAGTTTAAAAGAAGCCAAAGAGAGAGGGAGAGGCCACAACAGTGAGAGGCCTGCGTACCGCAAAAAAAAAAAAAAAAAAAAAAAAAAAAAAAAAAATCTTATGAGAAGTTGTTTTAAAAATACATTCCTCTCAGACGTGGCTGAGATGAATCAGAGTATGACTGACAGGTGTCAATTCTGTTGGGAAAAGGGAAAGCACCGTTTTACCTGGTATTTGCATTATTTGCATTAACAATGCAGTTAATCTTTGTAGTTAATTCTTACAGTTTGTACGAGTGTACGTGTTCTCAATGTAGCAAATAACCTTCCATGTTTTAACCCTCAAGTAAAGGACAGGGTAGGAGTGAGTGGAATGTTTTATTGAATTCAGTAGAGCTGAGAGCTTGGAGGTAAATGTGTGAGGATATGGCTATAGAATTGAAGCTAGGAAGTTTCATATGCTTGTCACCAGGTCTATGAGGAAATATAGGAACGTTTTTGCATGTACCTGATATTTTTCCACCACTTTAATATTGTGAGAATACTCCTCAATAAAAGATTCTTTGATGTTATAGTCTTAGTCTTTGAGCTGACCTCACATGGCATTTATGTTCTCCCAAATGAGGGGGATAGCACTGGGCGGTGGTGATTTCAGATTGAACAGCTGGGGAACCAAATTAGATAAATCTGAAACTCGGTACTCAAAGATTACAAGGTCATTAGTATGAATGTGTAGATGTGCAATGAGAGTACACGGTTTGTGTATATTTATGGAAGCAAAAAAATGGGGGGGGGAGGCAGAGGAAGGAAGTATTTATAGTTACTCACATGAATATTGAAATCATCCATAATAAGGATTGAGCACTAAAAGGAGAAAGTGATGTCAGATAATCAGATTGTGTAGGTTCAAATATGAAAAACAGGCGTAAAATAGGAAAAGGGAATATCTAAATCTTGCATGGTGAAATAATGGGACAAAAAGTCCCTCCCATAATATAATTTACTGTCTTTTGATTCCAGAAGAATTCTGTGATGATTTCCTATTTCTGCAGTATAACTTGAAGAAATTGTTAATGTAATTTCAAGTTTTATCTTTTAAACACTGAGTAGTTTGGAAGGTGATGCTTAATAATGCTTTTATGTTGCCTAATTGGTAACTTGTTAACATTTTTATTTAATGTCAGTGAGGAAAAAATTAAAATTAAATGGCTACTATAAAATGTGATTAGTGATTCAGACGACAAAAAATGAAGAGTCTTTTGTCTGGGGTTACACATATCTGCGTACAGGCGTCTTCCTTACCAATATTCTCCTTTTACCTTCTGTCAGCCAGTTTTTACTTCATGTAAAAGGCAAGCAAACAATCTCCCTGAAATCCTTTTCCATCTGAAACCACTGTTTCTTTGCTTTTTGACATATATTCAGACAAACCTTACAATGCTCTTCACTTATGTCTTTGTTTCTCTGTGGTTCTACTCTGGCTACCACGTGTGTGTATGGTTTTTCTCCCAACAATATAGTAAATTATTTAAGTATAAGAACTTTCTTCTTGAAATACCCCTCTTCCTACAGGTATAGGGATGTATACAGAGCATTCAATAGGTAATCAGTAAATGATTGATGAGTGAAAAATCGATTGAATGAATAAATCACACGGACCCTTTTTGGAAGATGGCAATTGTGTATACTGGATTTAGATTTCAAATTTACTAACTGAAAATGTTGTAGTTTTAGTTTTCAAAAATACATCTTATATTTTTCCTGATTGTCTTTTCATAGTAGCGAAGACGTTGAGTAGTTTGAAATTTTCAACACTTTTCTCTGGGATACCTCTCAGCTGCCTTTGTTTTTCATGCTGTTTCTTCAGTTACATCAGATTAAGCAATATCTCATAGCATATTTTATTTTATAGGTAGCTTAAATAAATGGCATCATTTTAATTTCCCTAGAAAACACGCTTAAAGATGGTAGCAAAACAAATGTAGCAGTAAAATGAGTGGGCATATAGTTGTATTACTAGATGATAATTACCACCTGTTATCAGTATAATTTTATTATAATCCTATTTAATTTTTATTACCATTGAATCTGACAGTGTTAGTGTAATCATTGTGAAATATGTTTTTCCACTCTAAGTTCCAAACTTCTTGCTTTACGCTCAGTTTGTGATTGTCCACATGGGAATCTGGTTTCATCCAGTGGTCATTTATAATTCCTCTCTCTACTCTCTCATGCCAACATGTAAGCTGGCTCAGACCTTCCTGTCATTAAAACAACTTCTCTTCACTCCATGTCCCCTTCTAGCTATTATTTCTTTCCTTCGCAGCCAAGTTTCACAAAACTACAATGTATGCTGGAAATTTCTGCTTTTCCACGGAAACCTGCCTCTTTGTTCCCACCATCTCCCATCCTTCTACTCTGAGGGAATTCTTCTGGCAGTGACCACTTAATTGTCAACATCCAGTGGTCTCTCTTTTTTTTTTAATGAAAGCTTCTTTATTTATTTTATTTTTGGCTGTGTTGGGTCTTCGTTTCTGTGCGCGGACTTTCTCTAGTTGTGGCGAGCGGGGGCCAGTCTTCATCGCGATGCGCGGGCCTCTCACTGTCGCAGAGCACAAGCTCCAGACGCGCAGGCTCAGTAGTTGTGGCTCACGGGCCTAGTTGCTCCGCGGCATTTGGGATCTTCCCAGACCAGGGCTCGAACCCGTGTCCCCTGCATTGGCAGGCAGATCCTCAACCGTTGCGCCACCAGGGAAGCCCCAGTAGTCTCTTTGACTCCCCCTCTTTTGACTTTGTGGAAAAGTGCCTGCTACCAGAAAATCTCTCTTCCTTTGATTTCAGTAATGCCTGTTTTGGTATCCTACTAGCTTCCTTTAAGTTGCCTTTATGGCTCCTTTTTCCCCTAGTACTCCTGTGTCTCTTTTTTTTTTTTTTTTTTTTGCGGTACGTGGGCCTCTCCCGTTGCGGAGCACAGGCTCTGGACGCGCAGGCTCAGCGGCCATGGCTCACGGGCCCAGCCACTCCGCGGCATGTGGGATCTTCCCGGACCGGGGCACAAACCCGTGTCCCCTGCATCGGCAGGCAGACTCCCAACCAGGGAAGCCCCTCCTGTGTCTTTTGATGGACTTAAGAAATTGATCCTTGGATTTTTGCTGTCTCACTCTAGGCTCTCTCCTACAGCTCATCTAAACTAAGCCAAGGACTTAAATCAAATGCTTTTTCATCCATCTTCTCTATCATGTCTCCTTATGCCAAGTTCAGGCCCACATGATCTCCTGGCCAAAAGCTGCACAGTGTCCTTATTATTCCCTCCTGCATATCCCTGGTAATCTTGTAATTGTATTCTTCATTGAATTCAGAGTCATATTCCTAAAGTGCACTAAACTCACGTCTCTTCATTGCTTATGATCCTTTAATGACTCCTCACTGTCTAAATACAATGGCTGAATTCCTTGGCTCAGCTTTAAGCAGTTCTGTGGTCTGACCCTTGCTGAATTCTTCAGCTTCACAGTCTCCCTCCACTCCTCACATTTTCAAGCCACATGTATGTGCACCATACGTTGCATACTGCTTTGTGATTTCTCATTTTCCTCGTGATGCTCCTTTTGTTCCAGCACGCCCAACTTGTTACTGCCATTATCCCTGAAAACTCTCATTTTTAATGACTTGTCTGAAGGACTCCCTATCCAATGATGCCATCCTTGATTTGAGATATAATTGGCCATTATCTTCTTTGTAGCTTCACAGTATCCTGAACTGCTTTTTCTGCCCTCTTGAAGCTTATACTTTAGTTGTTTAAACAAGCAGTTTGAACCTAGTGTGGTTGGTACTCTAATTGGGAAGAATAGGGTGCTACAGAGCATTTTAGAAGGATGCTTGACTCAGACTTTTAGAGGAAGCGACTGCTGGTGGTAGTTGGGAAGGATGAGTAGGTCTTATCTAGGAAAGGGGGAAGAGGTAAAGGGAATGATTCCAGGCAGGAGAGGCCCTGGAGAGTAGAGCGAGAGAGGAGCTGACGGTCTTCCTATGGCTAGAGTGTAAATTCGGGCTGTGGAACGGGGAAGAGACAGGGGCTGTTCAAAGCCTTTAAAACATGTTGATGAGTTTGGAGCTTATGCTAATGGCAGTGGGAAGCCATGTAAAGTTGAGTAGAAGAGAGACCTGAGCAGATAACAGGGTAGAAAGGTTTCTCTGATT